GATTTTCCGCAAGGGTTCCTCCAAGATATTCTCTTCAACCAAAAGACTTCGCTAATGACATTTCAATATGTTTCATATATATGTATATTCGTATATATATAGTTATCATGTATAATAACTAGAACACCTATAATGACTAGAATTACTATAATAACTAGAACATAATTATCACAACTATATTGAACCCCCCCCTTCGATTCCCCCAAGGTCCGCCTCTAAAGCCGCGTTTGCAAGAAGTCACCCCGCGGGCCCACTTTTTGCACCAAGATTCCAGCACCAGGATAGCCCTAAGTCAGTTGCTTTGGGTACATGCTGGGGTCAAAACACCACGTTTGTGAATCCCACACTGTTCTACACATGTACACACCAGAATCAACCCCATCCGCGTTGCAACAATGTGCTGCCCCCAGTTACACGTTGCCTCGCAAACCCCATAACCTGATATTTATACATATATCTAACTATATGTATGTATTTATATATATATATATGTCTGTGTGTCTGTGTGTGTGTCGTGTCCCCCCTCCCTGAAACCTACCTTTTTGGTACCCGCCCTCGAGTCCAAGCCCAGAAGACTTTTTTCGATATCCGCCCCAACTCCACCCACGTCCGTCCGCAGCGGATATGCCTCGTTCCCTTGCTCTCTTCTCCTGTTCCAACCCACGCCTACCTTTCGATCTTTCACCCTTCCCTCTCAAGTTCTGATATGTAGCGCGCCTGAATCCGAACAAGCAAAACCTATGGACATCAATCACGCAAGACACCTGCGTAAGACAACCTGGCACGACAGTCTGGCACGTTCTTCCCCAGCCAACCAGTGTTGGCATTTCGCGACATGTTAGTAAGGTAGCACGCTGTGAGCGTAGTCACCTTTCCTGTCTGATCACGTTCAGCATGAAATGAGACTAGTGCGCCTGCGCAAGAAGTATCATCATTCCGTCACATTCAAAAAGCATCTTCAAGATAGAGTATGAACCCATGATGCCTTTTGGCGCCTTTCACGTGCGTCTCTGCATCCTAGTGTTCAATCCATTGCGGTCTAGTTCCATTCCGGCACATATTGATACAGTAGGACTTGAGGAGTATTCCGGTGGAAATAAATAAGCTTCGGTGGTATCCCCAACAGCCGCAAACTTTTATGTTTACAAATCTTTCTGAAGCGTGCTGCGAAGCCAAGCGCTGGAAACACCTCAGCTGGGTTTCCGTGAGTTAGGAACCCTGTTGAACCTGACTTGGCTCTGCACCAAAGCCTCCCAGACCTTCACAGGAACCTTTTTTGGAACCCTGTTGAATCTCACCTGGCTCTGCACCAAACCTCCTCCAGAATCCTGTTGAACCTGACCTGGCTCTGCACCAAAGCCCAGACCTTCTCCCCTTCTCCGGAACCCTGTTGAACGTGACCTGGCTCTGCGCCAAAGCCTCCCAGACCTTCTCCGGAACCTTCGGAACCTTCTCCGCAACCTCGTTGAACCTGACCCGCCGCCTGCACCAATGCACACCGGAGCTATTCTGGGCTAAAGACCCCATTACCTTACGCTGTTGGGGAAAAATCTTAGTTTCGAAAAAGTCCCTGAATGGGAAGATTGGCAATGTAGGTGGGGTCAGGACATTCCTCCTGACCATCTTTGCTCGAGCGAAGTGCGACTGTGCCCAAGGAGACGACGCAGGTTCTTGCAGAGTGTACATGTGGTTTGTTTTTCTTTTCAGCACTGGCTTTTCCTAGCCTTGTGCCCACTGCAGCGAAGGAACCAAAAAGACGTGTTCCAGCCGCGTGGGGAAGAAACTGAGTGCGGAGCGCCGAGACCCCAAGAGAGTTGAGCATACGAGGGCAACAGGAGCAAAAAAGGCAGAAACATCCTGGAATCGTCCTTTCGTAATCCCCAAACTCTCGTGTCCATGCAAATGTTTTCGTTGCATTGCTTGAAAGATTGTTGAATTCTGGGAGGCTGACGTGTTGATGGCTCAAGTAGTCAGTGCACGTGCCCACACTCAGGCATGCAAGCTGTATTGGACATCTAAAATGACCATCAATCTCCAGGATCTATTCAGTGTCAAACCTACAGTTTATTTGTGAGTGTGTCAGTATGTACATATTCTATAATATATATATATGACATAACATACATACAATGCATGCACATATAGATATGCATACACGTGCGAGTTTTGAATCGTACAACGTCTATGAGAATATCCATGTACACACAAGGAACTTTCATATTATTTTTTGTTGTGTTTTCACGCGATAGTGTTTTGGCTACCGGGTGGTGCTGGACATGTGGCTTTCCAATCAAGGGCTTGAGGTTCTAGGATTCCAGGGTTTGTTGGTGGCCAAGTTGATAACAGTCGTGGGGTGGAGGGGTGCCACTAGTCACCAATTGGTGAGGGGTGTCGTGGTTCGAGTCTTTAACTGAATGACTATATAATCCTAAAGACTTGCAATCATCCCATCCATTTTAGGCCCTCGTTCTCTCACACTGTATTTTATGTTTAAATAAATCATAGTGGAGCATGGACCCCAAGGTAATTTTGTTTTTTTAAGGCTACTTTGTTTGAAATACCATGAATAGTTTGGTAACCTGACAGATATCACGCAGTGGCTCGCCGCCAACGAAATCAGGATAGCTTGCCGCCCACGGAATCGGGATAGCTCGCCGCCCATGGAATCGGGATAGCTCGCCGCCCCAAGATTATAAAGATATCATCTCAAAATCTTCCAAATTTCTGTTTAGAGATACAGTGGTGTTTTAAGTTTCAACTCGCCCATGTCCAACAAATAGCTAGCCGCTTTGGGGTCTCCATGTTGGGGCTTGGGTGGAGAGCTCTTCTGGGAAGAGCTCGCCGCCTCCAGACTACAGATGGGGAGGTCCCAAATACTGGCCCCACTAAAGGGAAAACCATTTCCAATTTGAGGATGAATCCCATACATCTGCACAAGCCTAGGGGTGGAGAGCTCTTCCGGGAAGAGCTCGCCGCCTAGGGGGTCCAACTTCAACCCTCAAAGTGGAGAGCCAAAAGCTATCCGGGGAAGTTTGCCTTCCAACTGCAGCGTTTTGCAGCTTCTATTGGATTAACGCCTCGCTGCCCCAGGCTCACATGTGATGATATATATATATATAATATAATATATATATATACACCTGTCACCCAGATGAAGTTCTTGTGTGAAGTGTATTTATAGCCTGAAAATTGTGAATTCTCATTGTCCATATTCAGAAAGATATCCGGCGATGAAGCTCACACTCCAAACGGGTCACGCGCAATAATTCAAATCGCTGTTTCAAGATTCGTTGAGCTGTTTCCTACACGCCCCGCATAGAACATCGAAGACCCGGAAAACCCCGAACTTCTACAATCCTCCAAAGATGCTTTTGGGATGTTAGGACGCAATGAAGAATATGACTACAACAACCGAGAGCACCAAAGCTTTGTAATCACAAATGCGCTCAATAGGCAGAGCATCTTTGCCTAATGATCAACGTACCGAACTAGCATCATACGTGCCCAGCAATCGAAGATCTCACTGAATTTTTGTCACGGATTTTCGTCACTGAATTTTCATCATCGAATTTCGTCACCGAATTTCGTCACCGAATGCGCATCCTGACTCAGGTCAGGGTGAATGTTATAGGTTGATTGGTTTGCTTGTTCCTTAAACAATTCACTAGCTAAAATATAATTCCTTCACCTTCACATTTGTTGATCTTTTTTTTGCTGACACCATGGTTCCTGGTTCTGCTGCGCTTAATATATATATATATATTCTTTCCGTTCCCCTCAACTTCATACAGAATGACTACCGAAGGCGGGTGCTGGCTATGTGAAAGGCGTTGAATATTTCAAAGATGTTTCACGCATTCTTAATTCCTGTCTCCTCAGCCGATTACCCCTCTACTTTTGCTCATAAGTTGTCACAATTTCAAGGGCTAAGGTTCTGCGCACAGACTTCTGCAGTCTGCACGGTAACATGCATGTCTTTCAAGGGTGAAGTGAGTGTGATAGCAAGACGCCCGCTGAATATGAGCATGATGATGTTGAGCGTGAAGATGGCGATGATGATTCTGATGTTGATGGTGGTAGTGATGATGGGGTTGGGGCGCAGAAAGGTTAGACTATGTTAGATTTTTTCAGATGACAATGGGGACAATGAAAAATGTGATGCCGTAGGTAGTGACTAGGTAGTTCCGGCAGAGCAGGCACCCGACAGCAGCAAAAGCTTAGAAAAAAACGTGGTCAAGAAACAGCAACAAAATGAAAACACTAAGGCATGAAAACATTAAAAAATCTGAAAGTTCATTACACATATACATACATACATACATACATACATACACATATACATACATACACATATACACATATACACATATACACATATACACATATACACATATACACATATAGACATATACACATATACACATATACACATATACACATATACACATATACACATATACACATATACATATACATATACATACACACATACACACATACACACATACACACATACACACATACACACATACACACATACACACATACACACATACACACATACATACATACATACATACATACATACATACATACATACATACACATATACACATATACACATATACACATATACACATATACACATATACACATATACACATATACACATATATACATATACATATACATATACATATACATGTACATACACACAACATACATACATACATACATACATACATACATACATACATACATACATACATACATACATACATACATACATACATACATACATACATACATACACATATACACATATACATATATCATATACACATATACACATATACACATGCATATACATGCATATACATGTGCCTGTTTACACATCTGTCATTTGTATGCATACGGATGTTTGTTTTTGGATATTCAAACAGTATGCGTTTCTAGCAGTGCACTGGCCGCGCATTTGTGCATTGCAGTCTGCAGCAAACATGGCCACCTGGAGCTATTCCACATTGCTATACCTCGCCATCACAGACCCTTGACCTGCAGAGTTACCTGAGAGATGACAAAGGCCGAAGGAACCTGAAGTTGAAACAAAGGACTTGTTTCCAAGGTTCAGTCTTGCCATCAGCCAACCGATGACATGATCCTATGATTCACACATCCAGCATGTTGCGTTCCTAGAGTTCTTCGGTTGTGCAGGCGCCCCAGGGCATAGTAGAAACACAACACAATGGGGATTGTATGCAATCGATCAAAGAGCAGGTGTCCTTTCACAGATAGGCCTAGCACAAGTACAGATTCCAAACACAGCCATCCCAGTCTCAATCCTGCGTGCTGAATCTCATCGATACATTTCAGCATGGTACTCGTACCTTCCAAGGTCCCTTCAGGCGTGCTTGGCCATGGACAGCTCACAGTACCCTTGGTACGCGGTGATTCACAAGGGCTTCGCGAAAGCCATGAGCAGCGGGCGCCAGTTTTCACTATCGCAGGCACTTGGAGTGGCATCTCAAAGCTATTCCAAGAGGAAAAGCATGAAAACGATGGCCAAAGGACACTAAAAGCAGTCGATAGCAGACGATGAAGATGCAGTCTCAAGGAGCTGGGGCGATTATAATTCAGATCCATACAGTAGTTGAATAGGGCCACGAGGATGTCAGTCTTTGTGCTTGCGTGAGGCAATAGAGGTGGTTACTCGGAGACCAGCAGCCAGCTTGCATTTTGAAACCTGCTAAACAGAAGCCTGCTGATGCAGATCTGAAAGTCTGCGAGAAGCAAATCCAATCGAATCCAATCAGGTTGCAAATCCAATCAGGTTGCAATCCATTGAGATGCTAAAGAGGCTTTCAGGGAAGGTTGCTAAACATGTTGCAGACACGAAAGATATCTGGTCCACAAAGATCCCTTCGAGCCCTTTGAGAGTGTCCGATGAGGTATGCGCTGCCATGACTTTTTGCCCGACGACAGCCCTCAGACTACACTCCAAGCAGGTGAGACATTTGACTCTTGGAGTCAAAGCCGCCTCAAGTCGCCAAAACATATTAGAAATTGGTAGCAAAAGCAATTACAGCAGCATTTTGCTTTCAAAATTTCTGGTTGCGGCGTTGCTTGTATCTACCACTGCACACCGATGGCCTTTTGTGGGCAAGATGTCCCAGAGAAGCAGGTCGATGACCAGAAAACGAGCAATTGTGACCTCACAAGCAGACTTGCGAACGTTCTGAAAAGCCCTCGCAAAATGAAGCTAGGGATGCGTTCTTACGAAACTATATTGCATGGATTTGCACGGTGTATTGTGTTAATTATCATGGTTCATCTATCATTTGGCTTTCCTGATTGTTTGTGCTTCAAGCGATACCAGTCCAGAATTCATAATTCAAGTCTCCCGAGCAGCGATCCTACAACGTACTCAGAAGCGAGGATGGCCAAGACAAGCGCATTGCCCAAGCAAAATGCTATGCTGCTATGTTACCAACTCTCGCTAAGTTTTCAGCTGACTCTTTAAAAGTGTTTGGTAAAGCATGCACAAGTTGCAGAAGCTACGCTCTTTGGTCCAGCCTGGCTCGGGAGAGAACATGAAGCGTGGCAACGAGCATTTCTTCAACTTGCATTGCAGCTGCATATCGATCACTTCCAGCAGCTCAGCATAGCTTGGATTAGCTTAGCATCTGGCCTAGGAAGCTACCTGGACAATGGAAGCTGGGCATCCAGGCGATTGCTATTTCTATTTGAGATGCTTGGCTGCAGTAGCCCGATGCCAGATGCTGCCAGCAAACATCTAGTCAAGTCACGTCCAGTCATACTAGCAACTGTGGTGGCAGATGACAGCAGGTGATAGCAATGAGGGTCAATGGCATGCAATTTACCTCTGGGATAATTACAGACATGCAAACATCCACATAGCTAGTGGCTTGCTTACGGTTTTCGGAACAAGGATTTGATCTCACAGGCAATTTTGCCTTGGCCTTCCCCTCTGCTTCGATCGCTGGAGAATCTGTTGTAAGGTCTAGCAGGTTTATACAGCAGCCTGTTGCAGGTTATGATTCGGATCCCAGCAACGCAGCTCCTCAGCAGCCTTGAGTCCACAAAGACGAGGTCTCGCCCAGTGTCCCGAAACGTTCACGTGAGCAGCGTTCAAAACCCTTGTTGGTTGATGATGGTATGAGATTATACATACATCGTACATACAATTTATTTATACATTTTTTTACATATATATATCTATATATTATACTACCAGTAGTACCGCACAAGGCGGTGGCGGAAGTTTCAAAAATCCGAAACCTATAGGAGAGATTGGTTGTTGTGAGTCACGGATTTCAGAGCGAATCCACTGATGGACCGACAGGTGGTTGGAGTTGTGTTTTTTGGAGTGGTTGCAATGGTTGCAGTGGTCACCTTACCACAACTGCTGGATGTAGTGTGGTAGGGCGGGGATTCGCTCAGGGCGTAAATTTTGGCTCGCTTGGGGCGTAAATTTGGTCTCGCTTGGGGCGTAAAGTGGACACATCGCCACCATGTAGGGCTCAGCGCAAGAGCCAGGAAGTATTACGGCGTGCCACAGTGCAACTGTGCAGGGCGTGTCTCGTTCACTTCATTCTGTGATGCCTTAACTTTTCACATTTTTCACGGCGTATCTAAAAGCAGCTGTGCTCTTCGTGTCTCGTTGAGTTTACTGTCAGATAGAACGCAACAACATACAAGCCCTAAAGGTGCCGTGGCTCTTCTTACATCAAGTGCAAGAACATATAAACCCTAAAGGTATCGTGGCTCTTCTTACATTAAGTGTGACAACATTTAAACCCTAAAGGTGTCGTGGCCCTTCTTGCATTAAGTGCAACAACATATAAACCCTAAAGGTGCCGTGGCTCTTCTTACATCAAGTGCAAGAACATATAAACCCCCAAGGTTTTGTTGCTCTTCTTATATGATGTGTAAAAACATACAAACCCTAAAGGTGCCGTGGCTCTTCTTACATTAAGTGCGACAACACATAAACCCTAAAGGTGTCGTGGCTCTTCTTACATCAAGTGCAAGAACATATAAACACTAAAGGTTCCGTTGCTCTTCTTACATCAGGTGCAGCAACATATTAACCCTAAAGGTGTCGTGGCCCTTCTTACATTAAGTGCAACAACATATAAATCCTAAAGGTGTCGTGGCTCTTTTTGCATTAGGTGCAACAACATATAAACCCTAAAGGCGCCGTGGCTCTTCTTACATTGAGTGTAAGGACATATAAACCCTAAAGGTGCCGTGGCTCTTCTTACATCAAGTGCAACAACATATGAAACCTAAAGGTGTCGTGGCTCTTCTTACAATAACTGTAAGGACATATAAATACTAAAGGTGTCGTGGCTCTTCTTACATCAAGTGCAAGAACATATAAACCCCCAAGGTGTCGTGGCTCTTCTTACATGAGGTGTAACAACATACAAACCCTAAAGGTGCCGTGGCTCTTCTTACAGTAAGTGCGACGATATATAAACCCTAAAGGTGTCGTGGCTCTTCTTACACCAAGTGCAAGAACATATAAACCCTAAAGGTATCGTGGCTCTTCTTACATTAAGTGTGACAACATTTAAACCCTAAAGGTGTCGTGGCCCTCCTTGCATTAAGTGCAACAACATATAAACCCTAAAGGTGCCGTGGCTCTTCTTACATCAACTGCAACAACATAAAAACCCTAAAGGTGTCGTTGCTCTTCTTACATTAGATGCAACAACAAGTAAACCCTAAAGGTGCCGTGGCTCTTCTTACATTCAGTGTAACAATGTAACAACATATAAATCCTAAAGGTGTCGTGGCTCTTCTTACATCAAGTGCAACAACATGTAAACCCTAAAGGCGTCCTGGCCCTCCTTACATCAACTGCAACAACATATATACCCTAAAGGTGTTACATCAAGTGTAACAACACACAAACCCTAAAGGTGTTCGGGCTCTTCTTACATTAAGTGCAAGAACATATAAACCCTAAAGGTGTAGTGGCTCTGCTTACATGAAGTGCAACAGCATACAAACCCTAAAGGTGTCGTGGCTCTTCTTACATTAAGTGCAAGAACATATAAAGCCTTACTTTTCCCTTTATGCCCACAGTGATCCCTCTTCTGCCCAAAGTGAGCCCATTCATGCCCCAAGTGAGACCATTTATGCCCCAAGTGAGCCCATTTTATGCCCCAAGTGAGCCCATTATGTTTGAAGTGAGCCCAGTTATGCCCCAAGTGAGCCCATTTTATGCCCCAAGTGAACCTCAAAAATTTATGTCCCAAGTGAGCTCGAATTTATGCCCAAAGTGAGCCCCTCGCCTAGTGGGGTGTAGTGCAGTTGTAGTTGTAGTTGTAGTTGCAGTTGTAGCTGTAGTGTAGTGTAATGTAGTGGAGGTCGGGGGTTCGCTTGGAGCGCCGAAAAGTGGATCGCTTAGAGCGCCGGAAAGTGGATCGCTTGGAACGCCGAAAAGTGACATAAGAGATATACATAGCGCATCATAGCGCTAGAGTTCCATATATGCACTGAGGCATATAGACACATAAATGGATGCATTCATATGTCGCTGAAGCACGCGATAACATTCGATGCGATCCGCTTTTCGGCATTACTTGACGAAGAAACTTATCAGGAACGTCTTGCAAGTTACTCGAAGAAGATGTTCCAACGTATCAGGAACATCTGGCAAGTTACTTGAAGAAGATGTTACGACGTATCAGGAACATCTTGCAAGTTACTTGAAGAAGATGTTACAACGTAGCAGGCACGTCTTGCATGTTACTTGAAGAAGATATGACAACGTATCAGGAACGTCCTGGAAGTTACTTGAAGAAGATGTTACAACGTATCAGGAACGTCTTGCAAGTGACTTGACGGAGATGTTACCCTGAGTCTCCGAAACTAGTAAATTTACTAACCACAAATTTTACTTAAATTTAACTATTTACACGAAAATTTACTTAAATTTCCCTAGGAAATGTAAATTTACTTGGTAAGTAAATTAATTTACTTGGTAAGTAAATTAAATTTACTTGGTAAGTAAATTAAATTTACTTGGTAAGTAAATTAAATTTACTTGGTAAGTATTTTTTTTGGACATTTTTTTTGGTTGAAAAAATGTATAGTTTTTGATGTTTTTTGTTTAATTTTTGAGAAGTATTGCAAGACAAATTGCCTTGAAATGCACATGTTTTTGTATTTGTTCTTTTCTTTTTTGGTTGGCTTTACTTAAAAACATATGATTTTGGTTCTGGAATATTGTTGGAATTGTTGCATTCTATTTTTGGACCTCTTATCTTCAAGTGTTGGACTTGTTATTACCCGGTCTGTTTTCTTTTGGAAGGGTTGTAATATGCTTTGTTTCATGTTATTGAAAGAAGAATGCATATGGCATGCATTCAAAATTACCACAGGTTAAAAAAAAAAACAACCTTCTTGGAATGTACTAGGTGGACAAAGTTTGGATGCTGATCATCAATGTCTGGATGTTTTTCTTCTCCTGTTTGAGCACTGCCAAGGGAATCCCTGACAAACATTTCATTCAGAGGCAATTCACTGTGGAGGTGGCAACATGATTTTGCATTGCCACACTGACTAGATGAATTTTGACTTGCCTTTGTTGAACAAGCTCTGGGCATAGAAAGCTGGCAGCAACATATCTATTGTCTTTGTGTATTTACTTGAGATCCTGCTGCTTGACATGAAAGTCATTACACATAGCGCTTTATAGCATGTTTTGGGCTTGGCAGCTTTACTTGTGAATTTGTTTTATTGGTAAGCAATGGATGCCTTTAATTCAGAAACTTTTCAGAGCTATATTGGCAGAGTGCGCACTGTGAAAAAAGGCTGCTTTACTTGAGATTTTACCTGTGACATGTTTCATGTGGAGTTGCATTACTTCAGAATTTACTTGTGATACAATGATTCCAAAACATGATTTTCTCTCGTGTTTTGTTGCACTATTTGAAACTTACTTGTGAAGGTTTTGAAGATCCCATTGGAGTCATCATGTGGAGATGCAGCATTACTTTAGAACTCACTTGTCATGGTTTTGAACATTCCAGCGAACTCAGCCTTTGAAGTTGCATTACTTGTGAACTTACTATTGGATCATTTGAATGTTTCAGTCAAGTTGCACTTTAGAAGCTGCATTACTTGAGAACTTACATGTGAAGATTTTGAGGATTGCAGTTAACTCAGCCTTGGGAGTTGCAACACTTGAGAAGGTTTAGAGGGATGGCACTGCTGGCTTACTTGGGGAGTCCATTGAACCACATTCCCATGAAGTATCTTCACATGTAAGGTCAAAGATAAACCAGTTCTCATCAGAAAACTTATAATTTTGTCCAAAACATTGCAAAAAACTATATGCAGTTTATATGCAGTTTATATGCAGTTTTAAAACTACATACGGTTTTGACAAAAGTGTATGTAGTTTTACCAAAACTGTATGTAGTTTCAAAACTGCATATAAACTGCATATAAACTGCATACAAACTGCGTACAAACTGCGTACAAACTGCATATCATTTTTCATAACAAACAACATTTTTCATCCAGGAAACATCAACATTTCATCAGAAAATGATCCAAAGATAACCCATATATGAGTATGACACCAATCTACTTGGACATCCTTTGTATTCAGATCAAAATAAAATCTCTGATTGCACAATAGTGCTGTGCAGTTTGACTTGCCTTCACCTGCAGCTGGAAAACACGAACAGCAAGGTCTGATGTGTTACCTGAGACTTACCTGGGAATCCAAATTCATATGACACACTGATTTCACCTTTTGAGCTGTTGCTGCAATACATGAGAAGTTACTTGAGACCTACTTATGGTTTCTTGCTGCATCTCTTGGTGTTCATCATCCTCCCTGGAGACGAAATGGACAACCTCCAAGAGATCTTTGTCTTTATTTGACAACACCAGAAGAGAAACCAAGCAAAGCACCCCTATCGCATGAAACTGGACAAGTTGACAATGTTCCAGCCCAAGAAAGGCTACCCCAAACTTCGTGGCAGAGCCAGTGACATTGCTGGACTAGCCCATTGCATGTTTGATCTTTGGTCACACTACATGGATCAAGGTGATCAGCACCACCTACGCATTCGTCTATTTTTGAAATTGAATTTGGAGCTCAAAGACATTTTGGAAACATTCTCGCCTACCTATGGCCACACAGCACTTCCAGAACCACAATACACCAAAGCATTCCAAGGAGGGCTTTCAATGGCCCAGCTCCACAAGCAACTCAATGAACACTTTGAGGCAACTGATGTGATTTTTTTTACTGTCAGAAGCAAAACTCATTTCGCATGGCACAGTTTGCAATTTTCCAACTGTATACACCCTTTCCTGATATGGTGTTACGAAGGAGAGTCCACTATGCGTCGTGCACAGATCCTTTGGAAGTCTTGCTTGCATGGCAGCAAACACTGGTAGGCTTCAATAAAAGCTGCTTGGAAGGAGCGCCATTTAATGTGGATGCAGTGCAAAGGATAAACTTGAATAGTTTCACCACAGGCAAAGCAGAAATTACGGCTTTCCAAGTTGGGTTCATTACTTGTGAGAAACAAAGTAACCTACTTTTAGCTTTCATGATCATTATATTATCGTGTACTTGAGAAGTTGAAGCTTTGCAGGTTACAAGAAACATTGCAATCCCACAATTGACATTTGCAGGAGATCAGGTTAAACAAAATTCCATGTGTTGGAAAAATAGCTTCTGCAATACAAAACTTTCATTTTTTCATATTTTACCTTATTCCTAACACCAGCTTTCAACAACAGAAATGAACTCTACCATAGAAAATGCTTCTTGGTAGTGAAGTGTGATGTTTTTCCATCAATTTCTTCCACAAATAAAAACCACCACATGCAGTTTGTATGTTGTTTCTATGCGGTTTCTATGCTGTTTCTATGTTGGCCAAAAATTTACTTACAAAATTACTTTCTCAAAAATTTACTTGGTACCAAGTAAATTGCTCATTTACATTAAATTTAGGCAAAAAGTAAATTTACTAGTTTCGGAGACTCAGGGTAGAACATATCAGGAACGTCTTGCAAGTTACTTGACGAAGATGTTACGCTGTATCAGGAACGTCTTGCAAGTTACTTCAAGAAGATGTTTCAACGTATCAGGAACGCCTTGCAAGTCACTTGACGAAGATGTTACGACGTAGCAGGAACGTCTTGCCTGTGTGTGCACAGGAACATGAACGTTATTACTACTACCCCACCCCACCCCACCCCACCGGTAACTGATCATGAAAGAATAGTGCAGTGCCTGTGTCTGCAGGACAGCAAGAAAGATGATGAGGTTGCTGTGCCTGACTCCATGTCCCAGCCCCGTGTCCCCAAGCGTTACCCTGAAGGTATGATTCTCTGGCGCTCTAAGTGATCCACTTTTTTGGTGCTCTAAGTGATCCCATGGTGCTCTAAGTGATCCGGTGCTCCAAGTGATCCCTTAACCTGTAGGGGAGCTGTAGCGGTAATGTAGTGTAATTAGCGCATTTGCAAGTGCAGTTGCAGTTGTATTCGTGGTGCGGTGTAGTGTAGTGTAGTGTAGTGTAGTGCAGCGTAATGTCGTGTAGTGTTGTGTAGTGTAGTGTGGTATAGTGTAGTGTAGTCTGGTGTAAGGTAGTGTAGTTGTAGTTGTAGTGTAGTGCAGTGTAATTAGTGTAGCGTAGTGTAGTGTAGTGTAGTGTTGTGTAGTGCAGTATGTGTAGTGTGGTGTGGTGTTGTGTAGTGTTGTGTAGTGTTGTGTAGTGCAGTATGTGTAGTGTGGTGTGGTGTAGTGTGGTGTGGTGTAGTGTAGTGTAGCGTAGTGTAGTGTAGTGTTGTGCAGTGCAGTGCAGTATGTGTAGTGTAGTGTAGTGCAATGCAGTGCAGTGCTGTGCAGTGCAGTGCAGTGTAGTGCAGTGTAGTGTAGTGTGATGTAGTGGCAGGTGTAGTTGTAGTTGCCGTTGCAGCTGCAGTTGTAGTTGTAGTGTAATGCAATGTAATCAGTGTAGTGTAGTGTTGTGTAATGTAGTGTAGTTGTAGTTGTAGTGTGCTGCAGTGTAATTAGTGTAGTGTAGTGTAGTTGTAATTGTAGTTGTAGCTGTGGCAGTGGTAGTAGTAGTAGTAGTAGTAGTAGTAGTAGTAGTAGTGGTAGTGGTAGTGGTAGTGGTAGTGGTAGTGGTAGTGGTAGTGGTAGTGGTAGCGGTAGTGGTAGTGGTAGTGGTAGTCGTAGTCGTAGTCGTAGTCGTAGTCGTAGTAGTAGTAGCAGTAGCAGTAGCAGTAGCAGTAGTCGTAGTAGTGCTTGTTGTTGTTGTTGTTGCTGCTGTTGTTGTTGCTGTTGTTGTTGTTCTTGTTGTTGTTGTTGTTGTTCTTGTTCTTGTTCTTGTTCTTGTTCTTGTTCTTGTTGTTGTTGTTGTTGCTGTTGCTGTTGCTGTTGCTGTTGCTGTTGTTGTTGTTGTTTGTTGTTGTTGTTTGTTTGTTTGTTTAATTGGCGTGGTGTAGCGTAATTAGATGTAATTAGCGTAGTGTAGTGTAATTAGTGTAGTGTAATGTAGCGTAGTATATTTGCATTTGTAGTTGTAGGTGTAGTGTAGCGTAGTGGTAGTTGTAGTTGTTGTAGTTGTAATTGTCTGTCTATCTATCTACCAATCTATCTATCTACCTATCTACCTATCTACCTATCTATCTAATCTAATCTAAACTAAACTAAACTAATCTAATCTAATCTAACCTAATCTAATCTAGTGTAGTCTAATCTAATCTAATCTAACCTAACCTAATCTAATCTAATCTAATCTAATCTATCTATCTATCTATTATCTATATATCTATCTACCTATCTATCTATCTATCTGTCTGTCTATCTATCTAGCTATCTATCTGTCTATCTATCTATCTATCTGTCTATCTGTAAGCTGGAAAACGAAGCAATTCTGCGAGACTTCCTCAATTTCTGAACTTGACAACATCAAAAACGAAACAGTTCTGCGAGACTTCCTCAATTTTTGAACTTGACAACATCAAAAACGAAACAAGTCTGCGAGACTTCCTCCATTTTCGAAGTTGACAACATCAAAAACGAAGCAATTCTGCGAGACTTCCTTCAAAAATGGAAAGTTGAGTGCAGAGCTGACGGCCTCGTACCACTGCGTTTTGCGATTTTTCCACTCCACCTGTCTAAAGTACTGCGCCTGCCACGAAAATTGATGCCAGGTCAGACGAAGTGCTGCACCTGTCACGCAAAATCATCTTAGCAAACCTACAAATCTGATGCTCCAAAATGCAACCCCTCTCAGGAAATCAGCGCCCTCACCTCCTAACATCTCTGATGAACATGTCTCTTGTACTGCGCCTGCCACGGAAAATGCATCTTTGCAGATCCTCTTCAAATGTCCCACGCCTGCCATCGTTTTTAGAAATGCTACAATACCCTCACGTTTTGTTCACTTTTGACAAGGTGCACAATCCCTTGCGCCTGCCGCGCAAAACGACGCTTCAACGTCCAAAAGTGGCGCGTACATGTGGTGGTGCTTTGTACATTTTGACGTCGAAACGTCCTTCGCGCCACAGTAGCGTGCACTTTTTCGACATCTCAACTTCCAAAAGTGCGTGAGGTGTTTTTAGATTGTTTTCACTTGCAAATGTGCTTCGCGCCACAACGGCGTGCAAATTTTCATCTTTCATCTGGCCAGCTGGCTCCGCACCCGCCGCTTTCGCGAGCCTACTTTTCGGCCCTCCGGAGCCACAAATCATTGAAAACATAGTGTTTTGCGACTTTCCTACCTTTTCGCGCACCTGGATCTTCTTTCTTCGGAGATTTTCTCTTTTTGATCTTCTTTCTTCTTCTCTTCTCTTCTCTTCTCTGACTCTTCCCATCTCTGCTTTTCATCTGTCCATATTGTCTTCTTCCAACCAAATATTTTAATTGGGGTTTATCACAATCCATTATGAGAATCCATATCAAAGCATCACAATGGAAATCCATTTTCCAGGTTTCTGATGTCAAATGATGGGCCCATAAAGTTTATTTGTCGGAGTGGGATGCTGTGACCCCAAGGGTCACCGGCAACCGAAACTTCACGGTTCCCCTTTTACATCCCATACAGCACAACGTGAGAATACAAACCAAACACCTAAACAAACTCCTGAAGCAACACAGAAATTTCCCGCTGGCCGCTTAGCGGCCCGTGCTTATGTCAGGAGGTTGCGCGTGTCATATCGTGTCATATTTCACAATCTGTCACTATCACCCAAGTCAACTTTTTCAAAATTGCAGCCATTCCAGGTTGCGGTGCCCCAGATGGCAAGAGACCTAGCACATCCTAAGAAGCAACCTGCTTGGCGAGGTGAAAGTCAAATCCCCTAGGCTCATTCTATCCGGTGACCCTGTCTTCCAAGGACTGAACATTCCTGCTTCTGTGACCACCACAGTTTTACTTCCGCCGGAAGTGCCAGCATGCGATCACTGCGTGCTGCGATGGGAGTGGACTGCACACCAGCAGGCTCCTCGAGATCAGTTACAGTTATCGAGGATCATGAGCTGTTTGATGTCAGTTTCTACCCCTGGGCCCCTGGGACCAGTGACCTAGTTGGGGCTGGAAATAGAAATTCCTTCTTGACAAGCTGGCACTGAATGCTGTAAGTTTGGAACCTTGACAAGTACGATGAGCCATGGTAGACCTAACCAAGTGTAATGCTGGACCAGAACAAACAAATTCAATGCCTCGCAACCTCGGGGGCCCAGCTTGAATCCTGCCTCTCAGAACGTGGCCATGCAGCCCTTATGAAATTGGTTGCAGGACATTACAGGTAGCAGGTATCCAGACTTCAGTGCTCGAAATCTGTACCTTCCAACTCGAGATCCTAAATCCTGAAACCAAGGGAATCTTCTATCATGCCACAAATGTGTTTTTCCAGAATCAAAAAAAACAGCTCGCTGGCTGTGTTGATGCACGGCAGTTTTCATCATCACAGCTTCAAAGCGGAGCAATAGCACAGATCATTGTGGGCCCTAAAGTTTGATCCAATGAAATGTGTTTATGTGGCTAAATTCGGCTGGTTTTGATGGGTTTGATGGCTTTCATGTTTCCCATTTAATTTGCAGAGCACGTTTTTCCCCGCTTCAAGTTGATACATGACATTGCTCACGTGTAGGGGCTTGCCCTGCTGACGCATGTCTTGTGCTGCTCTGCTGCGTCCCATGTTGACATGTAGAGATGCATGTGTATAAATTATTATAGATGTAGATTATATACGTATAATATACGTGTAATAAACTGTCTTAAGTTGTAAGTGGTTCAATGTGTTTTACACGGTGCTATAATAGTAGTTGTTTGAAGAGATTAATCAAATTTCACTTGCCAGCAACGCAGACTGGGTTGCACGAATCTCTATGAATGCATTCTTGTGACAATCTACGTGTGTTGTACTGTAGTGGTTTAGCCAGCGAACATCCATTAATTCGACATGGATATAAGTTTACATATCTGCATACATGGACGCCGCACGCTGTGCTTTTAGCATTTGATCAAGTCAGATTATGCCATTAGCAAAACATACAAGTCTCACGCACGGTTTTGTTATGTTTGGTTAGAACAGCTATATTGGGTCAGACCAAAAGCAAACACTTGGTAGCGGATCGCGATGCATGGTAAGGCTGGGGATGGACTCAAGTGTAGCCAAAGCCCTCAAGCGCAAGGCAAATGCCATCAGTATCCATCAGTGTCATTTACAGTTTTGGTCCTTTTTGGTCCTTCCGGTGGAATTCTCCATTTCAGCTTGAAACCTGAAATGCTGAGGTTGTTGACATCGAGTTTTATGTGCAGTGTGCAGATGTGAAGGCATGCCACTCAGGATATCTCAGGATGAAGTCAGATGGAGCTTTTGTTTTTGCAAATCGGAGTATAGAACTAAGATGAACTAAGCACAAATGTCTTTGTGAAGCAGTTCATATCTTCGTCTTCAACATCTCCATTTTCTCCGTGGTTGTACCTTGCTTCACCTTAATTTGCTTTAATCATAGTATATTGCAACTTCGTTGGTCATCCAAGCACGCGAGCCGAGTATCTGTTTCCTGTCCTTCCCGCTGCGTACCAGCGTGAATCGAATCTGCTTTGCAATCCACAGATAGTAAATCTTGCGAGAACGTGGAAGCCCTACACACCACCCGCAGTGTATGTCGATCCGCCCGCCACCAGCGGCCTCTCTTGTGGAGCACACGGAGTGCTTGCATGTTCAAGACATTGTGACGCCGCAGAGCGACCAGCTGTCTTGGAACCTTCCAATCCTTACAGAACCTTACAATTGTTGCCTCAAACCTCTTAGAACCTGTTGGAAACCCTTAGCTGGAACCTGTTTCTGGAGGTTTTCGCTGCAGGAAGCTATTCTTTGGCAAACCCTATAGACCCCAGCGAGGTGAAAGAAAACTGAGGGAAACACTGAGCTAGGAAGATCTAGGAAGATCGAGGAAGTTGATGGCAGTTGGTGGAAGTTGGTGGAACATGCAGTGCGTCAGCTTCGCTGCGCAGATCATCAGCAATGCTGGACCGATGCTGCCAAGCCCAATCACTGCTATCGCTGGAATCGAGCACTTGCCGCAGGAGCCAGTTGAAGTGTGTGGCAATGCTAAGCAGCGTTGCGTATAATCCCAGAATGTGATTGCACGCGAAATCTCATAAGATGTTGTGGCAATTCCTAACGACATTTCAATCAATCTTCATCAATCTTCCATGTTGTAAGAGTACACAAGGTGCTTGGCTTGGCGAGAGTTGAACAAACTGTCACAGTACTACTTTCGCCTGGCAACCGATGCCTCAGGACGCTTCAGGATACCGCAAGGCCTGGAAGATGACTTTGTGAGGCAAATTGCACATTGTGCACTGTGCAATTGACTTTCAAAGCTTTCCGAATTGTGTGAAGCTCCTGGCAACGCTTGAAATTCAACGTCACAGGTATATAATGGGCAAGGTCCCGAGCAACAGTATTTGGTCGGTCCAGCTGTTGCTACCTACAGTGTTTGCAGCATTGGAGCACCAGGTGTCATGGCATGCATAGACAGACAGTTTATGACAGTTTAAAGTGCGGACCCGATGGGCTGCCTCAATCAATGATTGTCTACACGCTTTGTTCTTTTGCAATTTTGCACCCCAAGGTTGCATCTCGGACATTGGTTTGCAGCCAATCGCTCAAAGCACATCACAGATGCCAGCAACGTCCGAATCTCCAACTGAGCCCCAGACTACCGCACCATCAGCAGGCAGAAATGGGCCATGTTCAGACAATTGGGAAGAGACTTTTACTGCACCGGGCAATACCAGGCATATGCAAACAAGGCAGGTCATGAGCAGATCCCATAGTCGTGAAGTAAATTGCGCAGGAGATGCAGTTTGCAGCTGTAATGCTGGCACCGAATGGAACGGTGGCTTTGCCCGATATGCAACTAGGCTTCGAGCAGAGACGAGTGGCCCGCAGTGGCTTGTGTGTTTTGACACGTCATTCTGGTGCTGTGTCTCCATGTCCAAAGCACCAGCTTGACATGTTTGACATTGTTTGACCTCATTTGCAAATGGATGCAAAATAATTGTTCCGAATATGGTAAATAGACATAGAAAGACTAGGTATGACTAGATTGTAGATGCCTCTAATTTAGCTTACCACAAAGTTCATGGGCCATGAATTAACGCGCATCTCATCTCTAGGAACAGGTGGGGCTGAAGCTATTGGGCAAGTTATGAGAAATCTGCTGTCCTACGATGTGCTAAGATCTATACACCCGATTCATTTTAGTTCTATATAGCTTTTTTAGGCTCGACCTGCGACAGTACAAGGCTAGCTTGATCCCCAATACCCCGCCCTGTCAGCAAGAGATTGCAAACTGGATCAGGCTGGCCTTCAAAAGATTTCTTGGGAGCGCCAAACATACTAAACAAGATCTGTCTAAACATTTGAAACACTGGCCAGGGTGGAGGAATTAGTGTGGCCAACGGCGGTCCACATACTTGTGGAGCCCCATGTGTTGGACTGGCAATTGCGCAACACGCAAGACTTAAGAAGCACCAAGAGGCATTCAAGAAACAATTCTCTATGGCGAGCCTCCTTAGACAGTGCCTGACAAGATTTGAACAATCCAAGGCATTGGGAGAGGACTTTTGCAGTCAGAATTTTGGCGGTGCCAACCCTTGGATCTCTGACGCTTTGTTGGAGAAGATGGTGCATGGATGCTAGTAGAGGAAGGTCTTTACTTTAGATCATATGTACTTGTGGTTGTCTTTCTTGTTCAATCATGTTCAATCTACTAATGTTGTAAAAAGATACAGAATGCACAAATTGCGTGCAATTTGTGGAAGGGACGTGACTTGGCAATATTGGCCACTTGATGCCATCCTGTGCTGCTAAGGGCGGAAGCAACGGAGGCTTCAGCGGGGCCGCAGCTTGTGTCACAGAGTACACATTCAAGGACCAAGCATACTTCATTCAAAGCCTGTTGAACGATATGTCATGTCAAGAAAAAGATAAGATACATGCACGCATGCATGCATACAGACATACGGACATACATACGCACGTGCGTATAGACAGACAGGCAGACCGACACACCGACAGACCGACCGAGCGACAGACAGAGACAGACAGAGACAGACAGAGACAGATAGAGACAGACAGACCGGCGTACCTACCAGCCTGCCTGCCTGCATACATACATGCATACGTGCAAACGTACATAACGTAGGTACATACATCAGGTGTTGTAGGTGCGTCATACGTACCAACAAGCGCACCTACATACGTACCTACCTGGTGAAAGCCCTAAGTTGTCTCAGGCAGCACTTTGTTGTCTCATCTCGGTGTGCCATGCGAAAGATGTGACACAACCATTGGAATGGAGTTGTCATTTGGTATGATCTTTACAGCACAACGCATAGGCACGCAAGGATTCTTAACATTGCAAACATTAGTTATATCCATTTACCTCCCTAACAATCCCTGGGTTACTTCTATGGAGTTTAGCGGTGCCTTTTGGCTTTTGGTGGAATGGTATCTTGTTACAAAATGAGGTTTAGACAAGCTCAATTCAATCTGCAAAGATCAGCAGATGCGCGAATGATTGGGCACTTTGGCCCAAGATTGCTTTGATTGGTGTTTCAATGGCAATGGAACCCCCCCGCAAGAAGCGATCTCGCAATGATGGGGTAAGCCCTTTCTTGTCTCAGATAGCACTTTGTTGTCTCATCTCGGTGTGCCATGCGGAAGAAGTGACACAACCACCGGAATGAATTACTACATGATTTGTTATTTGGTATGATCTTTACAGCACAACGCATAGGCACGCAGGGATTCTTAACATGGCAAACATTAGTTGTATCAAGTTATATCCATTTGCCCCCTGACAATCCCTGGGGCAACGTGAGTTTCCCACACAGTGTGTACACACTCGGGGGTCTTGTGATCGGTCCTCTTCCTCCTCCTTTTCCTCCTCCTCCTCCTCAGTATCATCATCTTCCTCCTCCTCCACATCATCATTCTCAGCATCATCCTCGTCCTCCCCCTTGACATCATCATCCTCAACATCGTCATCCTCCACCTCATTTTCTGCAACATTGAATTTGTTTTTTTTGAAAATACCAGAACGCAAGCTGGTGATGCTGTTTCAATGCTTGGCTAAGCTTTTGACCTGGAATTGCTTTTGGCGGTGTGCCATTGAGATTTGACTCCAAGTTGACAGGTCGCACCTTCCCATATTCTGATTCCGGGCATTGCTAAATGCAACCTAATAACATGATTCAAAGGTTGCAACGACTTCAAAACATGATGCATCTGAGCCGCTGTGCCTTGGGGATTTGACACCTGGGGTAACTACTGTCTGCCCTGGGGTAACTCGGTGTGCCTTGCGGTTGGGGTAACTAATGGGTAAATGGGGTAACTTAGGGCGTCTGCTAGTACGTACATACCTACATAATCCATCATTATCCTACATACATGCCTACCTACCTACATAACAGACAGGAGGCAGGCAGACAGACGGACAGCCAGACAGAGCCAGACAGCTAGATAGATAGGTAGAAAGATAGAAAGATAGATAGGTACCTACATATCTACAAACCTACAAGCCTACATACCTACATAACTACATAACATACCTACATACCTATATGCTTACATACCTACATACCTACACACCTACACACCAGACATCTAAACAGGCAGATGGTGCCCCTGTCAACATTTCAAGTCAGGTTCGTTCATGGGGCGCTCATGTCATACTGCTAGCAAGGGTAGTTTCAAACAAACAATTGAATTGTGCAATCTCCACAGCCGTTCACAATACAACTTGTTTGCAATGGACTCAAAGGACTCACACTGACATGCCGCATCCACGCACGAATCTCAGCAGGAAAACTATTGGCAGATCTTGGTTGGCCAGGAAGCTTGGCACAGGGTCACGCAGCGGCGCTTCTTTGAGAGTTGGGGAAACAGTTCCAGAGGGAGGTTGGCCCTGATTAGTTCACCAATTTTGCTCACACACCTTGGATACACCTTGGCAGTGCGTTTTGAGAGATTGCAAAAGAACGGCTTAATTTCAATGGCTGGCCGGAAATTGAATCAATTGAGGTTGCATTCGA